GTGAATATAGCCTTGGTGATATATCCTTAGGTTCCAGGGGGCTAGGCACAGATAAATTAAACTTCCTTAAAATGCTGCTGTAAACAGAATGAAAAGTGGTCAGCTAAGACTCTTCAAACAAAGAAAGAAATCTGGCCAGCAGCCTTTAGGCAAGCTGGGCTGCTTTCAAGAAGCGTGTGGCCCTTTGCAGAAATTGTTGGGAAAGCAGATGTTGGCTGGAAAGAATGCTCGCCTAGTGAGGGAGGCAGGGAGGAGGTGCCATTAGCCCTCTGTTCCTCCAATTCTGCTTGGTTGTCAGGGGCCAGCTGGTCTGGGAGTTTCCCCATCTCTCTCACCAGCCCGTCTGCTCACTTGTATACATAAGGCAGCTGCTGGCCTGGCTGATGCTCAAGACGGGGGCAGGCGGAGATGCAGAGTCAAGCCCAGCCTCCTCCTCTTGCTCCTTCTCCTCCCCCAGCACCATCTTCACTTGTCCGCAGGGTCTAGGCATGGTGCCTGATACCCGGCAGGTACCTGAGAAACATTCACTGAATCCAAAGGAAACGGGCACTTGGCTCCCATACCCAGATGTGGGGGACATTTAAACTATTTCTCAAGAGTCCATAAGGCCCAGGAGAAATCTTAGAAGGCTCCAAGGTGTCCAACTTCCTTGTTGTTCAAAGACCCCAAAGTCCAGAGAGGACAAAGGAGCCACTCAATGTTACACAGTATGTTAGCAATTGGGCCGGCCCCTTAACTTTTATTTTTTTCTGCATCTCAGACCCTTTCTACATCCTTTAAGATGTCCTTTAGAAATGATCTGCTAGTATCAGATCTCATCTGTCTCAACATGTCTTTATTTCACCTTCATTCTTGAAGGATTTTTTTTTAAATCAAGTATAAAATTCTAGGTTCATGGTTACTTTTTTCTCAGTGCATTGAATATACCATTTCACTAATTTCTGGCTTCCACTGTTTCTGTTGAGAAATCAGCTGTCAACCAGTTCTTTTTTGAAGGTAATTTTTTTCCCCCTATGGCAACTTTTAAGGTCTTTTCTTTTGCCTTCGGTATAGCAGTTTCACTAGGTGGGGTGATCCAAGGGTGGCTCTCTTTTTTTCTTTTTGGGATTTACTGGGCCTGAGTCTGTGGACCGGCATCTTTTATCAGCTCTGGCAAGTTTTCGGCTATTGTATCTTCAAATACTGCCTCTCTCCCATTCTCTCTCTTTTTCTGGGATTCCAGGCAAATGATCAGATCTGCTCACTGTCCCCTACACGTCTTAACCTCTCCTCCCCTATTCTCATCTTTCCATGTTTCTGCTTCTCTCTCCAGCTGTTTAGATCCTACTCAATTACTGACCCCTTGCATTAAGGTTTTCATTTTAATAAGAATTTCATTTTTAGGGGTTCTATTTGGTTCTTTCCCAAGTTCATTTGCTCTTTACTCATTTTTTAAAAGCATCTCTTATTTATTAAAATATATGGAGCAGTTACTTTACAGTGTTTCTGATAACTCCAGTATCTGCAGGTTTTGTAGGTCTGCTTCTGCTTCCTGCTGTTTCTGCTGCCTGTGGCTCACAGCACCTTGCTCCCTTACATGCGCTATGAGTTTTGACGAAATGGCTCATCTTCTTTGGGACACTTATCTTGGGAAATTCTATGAAGCCTGGAGGTGGGTTCCTCTAGAAAGGATCTGCATCTGACTCTGCCAGGGGGATATCACCAGTGGCGAAGTATCTTAAACTTTGACAATTTTGCCTGGAGGTTTTCTGAACCACCCTTCACGTGAATTTGGTTGGCAAACTTGAGTTTATGAATTCTCTCCCTCTTCCCTTTCATTCAAGTTCAAGTCAGTTTATTTTTCAGTTCTGGGAGTTGGGTTGGTGGCAGCGGCGCTGATGGAAGGTGTGGTTTATTTCTTGTTCTTCCTCATCCTGAGAGCCCTGTAGGGTCCCAGCTTTATTGGGGGGGGATCTCTTATTAGACTCACTTCCTTGAGCAAGGAAGGGCTTTGAAAGTCTCAGCCAGAAGATCTGAGAACAGAAGTTTAATTCCCCTAATTTAGATTTGCCCTCAAGGCATGACTGCTTTCTGTGCTCTGCTGACATCCCTGGGCTCCCTCCTTTATTTATTCCTGACCTGGTTACTTCTCTTTCTTATTAGGTTATGTAGGGATTAAAGAAAACATTTAAAATATTTGATCCAGCATTTGTAATGGTTTTGGAGGAATGACTGGGCCAGGAATGACTGGGCCAGGCATCTGGTATACCAGGTTGTTGGCGCTGCGGTCCATCTGGGCCTATGTGCTCACCCATTCTCAGGGACCCCCACCCCGGAGTTGGCCAGCCACTGCGAGCATGTGCCCACAGCCATACCCGCTGCAGCCTTGGCAGGCCAGCCACTCACCCTTGGACGCGGACGGTGTGGGAGTGCTCAGCACTGCAGCCTGGTGGGCCGTGAGGGGGGTCGATGGAGACTGAGAGGCCACGCTTGCCATGAGCTGAGGCTGGGATGGATACTAGGGTGACCGTGTGGGGCAGGTGGGAGCCGGGGGAGTCGGGCAGGATCTGCTCGATGACGGGGGTCACCACGGTCTGGTAGTAGCAGTGCCCGCTGTAAGAGCCCCAGGGGGTGGGGACCCAAAGAGTGGGAAGAAAAGCGTGTCAGGACAGTCACCAGCATCACCATTACCCCATCCCTTGGCCCCAGGCTTTTATCTCCTCCCACCCTTCCCTTACTGCTCCCCGTGGGGGGAGGAGGGTCTCGGCTGTCTGACAGGGCTGGGAGCAAGAACTGGGCATGCCCAGCCCAGCCCCGGCCCCCGCCCCTCTCTGGGGCTCAGTCATGCTGGATTGTCTACTCTGTCTGGTGGCCAGGACAAGGCCTGGGGATACATCCAGCTCCGGAGGAAGTCATTAAAAGTCCATCTGGGATCCTCAAAAGCCATGCAGCCCTCAAATCCAGCTGTATCGGTGTTGCTATAATAAAGAATTTGGTCTTTGTTCCTGACTCCTGGGTAAGAGGCTCTAAATCCTTGGAACAGGTGCATCTTCATTTGTCATGAGCCCTTCAGCACATACCTGAGTCAATGTTAATGAGCTGACTGAGGCAGGGAGGGGGCTGGTCACCAGAAAGACTGACTGTGTGATGAGAGGGCTGTGGCTGTGACCCAGCCTGACCTCGAGCAGACTGAGTTCAAACCCGAGCCCAGTGATTCAATCAAACACACTTACATAATGAAACCCCAATAAAAACTGGTGATGCCAGGGACGATGGGTCACACATCCTGATTCCAAGGGGGGACTGCATGGAAGCTCTGCATTCAAGACCCTCCTAGACCCTGTCCTTTGTGTCTCTTCATCTGGCTGGCCCTGATTTGTAGCCTTCAGGAAAAACTGTAATTGTGAGTGCAGGGCTTTCCTGAGTTCTGAGTCACTTAGCAAAGTGTCAAACCTGAGGGGGTTGTGGGAATCCCTGACTCTGCAGCCAGTTGGTCAGAAGTGTGAGCAGCCCGGGGACGCTGAACTTGTGGCTGGTGTCTGAAGACAGGGTGGTCTTGTTGGGGACAGGTCCTGAGCTCACAGGGTTAGAGCTAACTCTGATGGTTGGTACCAGAAGTGCACGGCTGTGACGTGTCGGGAAGAAAGCTGGTGTCTGAAGCTTCCTCCGTCTGACTCCTGTGTCTATTTCCCAGCAGTTTCTACGCTGTCACGTCTATGAATGACCGTCCTCACATGAAAAGGGAAAGGGACTGGCCTGGCACAGGAAACCTGTGACATAGGAGGGCACACCAGGCTCAGGGAGGGGTCAGGCACTCACCAGTACAGCTTGGAGTGCTCCACCAGAGTGTAGGTGTCCCCATCACCGATGAAAGTCCCACACGTGAGGCAGATGAAGCATTCAGGATGGTATTTCAGCTCCCCTGCCACCTGGAAAGAGTGTGTGTGTGTGTGTGGTGGTGGTGGTGGGGACAGCCCAGCTCAGTGGCCCCTTCAGCCCCCACAGCTCCTCCCTTTGGCCTCCTCTCAGAAGGGCAGCTCCAAACAAACTTCGGGGGCCTGGCCTGCTGCTGGGCTCCCAGACAGAGGTGGCTCCACCGGGTAGGGGGCTGAGGGATACAGACAGACAAAGAGGCCCAGGAGCCACTAGGGAATCAGAGTCAGTGAGAAGAACAAGAGATGAGGGGGGAGTTGTGCAGCAGGGAAACCTGTGAGGACACACACACACACACACACACACACACCCTCCAAGTGAGGTGTGAGTCGAGGAGGGGCACTTACCATGACAAGCCCCTTGGTGATGTGCTCCGAGCACCCATGGCAAGACTCGCCATAGCGGGCCCAGTAGTCCTTCTTGCAGAAGAGCTGTCCATCCTTCTCGTAGTACTGGTGCGAAAGCGAGGCACTGCATTCGCAACACCTGGGGGAAGGGGATGCTGGAACTCAGTATGGCCTGCCTCTCCCCAACACCTGGGCCTGGTTGGTCTACAGGTACCTTTGTAAGCATTAGAAAAAGGTGTGCCCTCTGGACAGAAGCAGCCTATGTTGGGGCACAGGGCTTGGCAAGAGGAACGGGGGATGGATTCAGTGTCCCCCCTTTCCCTGCCCCGCCCTAGACCATGGTCCCTGGGCCAGAAGCCACAGTGCTGTGTGCTCCACCTGTACAAGCCAGGGTGGGCAAATGCAAAAACATGGGACCCCACACTGACCATTCCCAGGAGTAAGCCCCACTGGGTTCTGCAGATTCTGACTCAGGGTCCCAGTGTGCGCAGATATGTCTGGGCCGAAGTACCCATGGTGCAGAGAACGGCTAGGGAATCCGTCCAGCTCTGCTGCTGTTTGGGGCACTCTAGGTGATGTGCCAAGGTCACATGGGGACAGGAGAGGATGGCAGGAAAGACTGGGACTGGGTCAGAGAGCCCCACGCCCCAGGCAGCCGGGGAACCCTCGGCTCTACTGCAGCTTGCACGTGGCGGCACTCATTGACTGCACTCATTGACTGCTCCTGAGCTAGGGAACTGGGGAGGCGGAGGAGGGAGAGCACAGCAGCGAGAGTGCTGGTGGGACACTGTCCCTTTAAGAGGATCCAGCCAGTTCCCCATTGTCTGGGAGCCTGCGGGGAGGGGCTGGGGACCACAGCTGGGGGTGGGGGCTGGTTCGGGGAACACAAACCGCCTGGGTTTTGAGGCCAGGAAGGGGGGTCTGGTGAACCCTCTTGGAGAGGGTGGGGGCAGTGCGGGGAGAGCCTCTGGACACCGCGCTGGGATGAGAGGAGGCGGCGGAAGCAGCGGCTGGACGGGAGCCATGACGTCATCTGCTGCCCCCGCAGCCTTTCCTGCCCCCACACTCGCGGCGACTGAGTGAGTGGGCATCTTATTGCAGGGTGGGCGACTAGGCAATGAAGGCACTGAGCCAGCAAGGAGGACGCCCAGAGATGGGGAGGTCCCAGCGCAGCCCCCAGGGGGCTCTAAGCCCGAGGGAAGGTGCACAGCAGGAGAGCAGGCTCCGCAAAGAGATGGGAAGCAGGCAGCGCACGATGACCTTGGGGCGCTACCCCAGGCCCAGTGCGGATCAGTGACTCACTTCGCCCTTGCACCGACCAGACGCGGATGGAGTCACAGGAGCGTCACCAAGGGAGTCTCCCCCTCACTCCCTGGCTGCAGGAAGCAGCCCCCCTCCTGGGTGGGCGGGTTGATTGAGGCTCAGGAGCAGCTGCCTCCCTCCAGGGGAGAGAATGCTCTTCTCCTGCCTGCAAACTCCTACTCCTTCACTCACACACAAACATTCATCAGTGCAGCAGCACTGGAGGACCCCACACTGATTGACTCAAGCTCTGAGTGCAGTCAGCTCTCTGAAAACCACTTCCTTGAAGCCTGCTCAGACAGGTCCCCCCACCACCACCATGCAGCCTGCACTGCCAGCCCCTGCCATTAACCTGTGGGCTCCTTGAGGTCACAGGCCAGGCATCCACAAATGCTGGTCCCCGAAGAGCACAGAAGTGATTCCTGCCAGACTGGCTTGCTCTGTGCACTCAACCTGGAACAGTTCCTCAGAACCGCCTCAGGGTGCCCTCAGAACAGAGACAGGGGACTTCCATCTCAGACAGATCTAGCCCAGGCTCATGCAGCGGCTTGGTGGCTGGCACTCTGGGCCTCAGTGGACCTTTGCTGATAGAAGATACACAGGAGCCCCTGACCCTGTGCATCTCCTCAGCCCTCAGGCCCACATCCTTCTGGGAGTCAGAGGAGGCAAGTGGGGCAGGACAGGCCTGCTCTTAGGGGTGCCCCGGGGTACCCCACAATGCCCCAGCTCCCGCAATGGATGTCAAAAGAGGAATACCAGGTACAGTGTACCCCTCCCTGAGAACAGGTGAAGACAGAGCCAGGCTTGGCAGGAGAGGAGGGCACTGGGGAGGGCATGAATAGGCCAGCCTAGGAAAGAGTGGCGACCTCTGCAATGGCAAGTCCATCTCTCCCAGGGGTATGCTCTGTCCAGAGCCACATCCCTGGACACCAAGAGTGAGAAAGAGCAGCGGGGGACCAGCCCCAGGGGAAACTGCACCAGAAGGGCCTCAGTGGCCTGCTTCCCCTCAACAGGCAGCAACAGTGACCAAGGAGTTTCGGTTCTCCTGCCCCACAGCCTGGCCCCAGGTGGGTCTGTCCCACCGGGGCCTCCAGCCCCAGCCCTCACACCAGGGGCCCTGCCTGAGGCCTGGGATAGGCGGGGAGGGGGCTTTCCACTTACTTGGCCCCTCTGAGGAAGCGGTGTCTTCTCAGGGTCGAGGCCAGCATCCTTTGCAGCTACCTACGGCAGGGGGCTCCGGAGGCCTACAGGGAGTGCAGGGGTGGGCCCGACAGCCTGCTTCCCCATCCTACTCCAGACACTCAGGATTGGAGGCTGCAGAGGGAGGGGCTAGCGTGGCCACACAGCAGGGAGGAGGATGCAGCCATGTGGGTGCAAGGACTTGGTCTTAGCTCACAACAGGAAGCAGCTGAAGGGCCTACTGCCTGGGCTCAGGTGCAGGCAGGGAGGCTTGGCAGGCACTTGGCCCTCACCTACATACCCAAGAAAGGCACCCTCCATGCCTTTCGGCCTCTGCTTTGACAAAGGCACTGGGGACTCTGGGGACAGGGAGCAGCTGCTTCTTTCAGCGCTGCCCCCAAGGGAACAGAGGTTGACTTCCATGGATGGTTCATCCACCTCGCCTGAAAGTCCCCCAAAGACGGGGCATCCCAGCCCAGCCTCTGACCCCCACTTCCAGCCGTGCATTCACCCCTTCTTGCCCAGGGCCAGCCTAACCAGCCTCCATGGAGATGTTACTGGAGCTATGGCAGCCCCAGGGTGGCCCCAGGGCTCCTGTGCTGCAGGCTTCTGGGAAGGGACTTCCCAGGAGGCAGCAGCTGGGCCAGAGGGAAGCCTGACCGCTCAAGGCCTGACCACAATCTTCTGGGAGGCTGGAACAGAGAAAGGGTGACAATGGCACCTAGTGCTAATGGAAGAAGCATTCTGTGGGCCCACAGCAACTCTCTTACTGCCAGGCCTCAGAGCCCAGGGGCTAGTGGTGCCAACCCCACTTCACGGCACTGAGATGCTTCCGGGGAGAACCAAGTCCAGAGCCCGGATGCCTGTTACCCTGGGGCCCTAGACAAGCAGTGATTCCTCTCTGAGCTGCTTTCCTATCAGGGGGTGGGGACGCTGTTGGCCTCACCTAGATTCAGGGGCTGTTGGGAGAACTACACACCACTGGGCCAGAAAGACTGGGTAAGCCATGGAACAATGTGGAATTCGTGGCTCTTACTGCCTGGTGGGCCATCCCTCATTGTGGGAGCCTTACCTGTACCCCCTCACACGGAGTCAAAGCAAACATGCCTTCTCTCTACTGCCCAACCTGGGGCCTCACCCCTCTGCTGGTTAACAGGCAGGAATCCCTCCAAAGCTGGGTTCCATGCATCCTGCCCCACTGCTTCCCTTCTGTGGTCACATTTCTGCCCCACCTTCCATCTCCCAAGGCTCCACTTCCCACCCCATCCTATGCACAGGGGCCCCCAGAGTTCTTCCCTTGATCTCGGCCTCATCTCAAATCCCATTTGCCATCTTAGTGCCAGCCCTGAGTGGGCTATTCTCTCCGGCCTTCCCACTTCTGACTGGTCTCAGATCACCTTGGCCAGCTCCAGGCAGGGCACTGCCACCCTGGTTAGCCCACCACACCTCCAATGCAACAAGGACCGGAAACAACTCATCACCAACCCGGCCCCTAGCTCCACCAGGGCCAAAAGACCACTGCCCTCCTCCTCCCAGGATGAAAAACCAGCTGGCTTTAGATTCTGCCCCTGCCACTCACCAGCCCCCAGCTCCACGCCACAGCCCCTCGGGTCTTCAACTCTGCAGTGACCTGGAGTGAGGCTAACACAGGTTCGAGTCCCAGCTCTAGTTGTTGCAACTCTCAGCAAGTTACTTGACTTTTCTGAGCCTACATTTCTCACATGGAAATCAGACAAATAATGGTAACTCCTACAGTTATGGTGAAGGTTTAACAAAATGACATTACAAGAGTCACCAATAATGGTAGCTAACATGACTAATCCTTGCCAAATATCATCCCTTCTAGACCTGAAGTTCTCCACTCTTAGTCACTGTCCTAGGTCAGGTCTTATGAGCACAGATCCCTGAACTATTGTGACAGTCTCTTCCCAGCCACATGACCACCATCTGCCCACCGGGATGGCATTTTTCAATTGCACTTCTGCCCACACCCCTCCCCTGCTTTCTGAAACCATCTGCTTGCTCCCTACTGCCCTCAGAAGGGTCCTTATCTTCGTATTCAGGGCCCTTCACCAATTGATCCTAACTCTGCCTCCTCATTGTGTCCCTCGACTCATTCTGTTCCAACGAAATGAGCTGTTCCCAGCCCCACCATGGTTTGTATTGCCCCACTTCCTGTCTGTGCATGTGCTTTTCTCTGCCCGTTCAGAGCCTTCTTCCTCCCCAAAGGCCTCCTTCTGAACACCTGATCAGGAACCCCACCCAGGACGTGGAGCCCACCTGTCTTCCGGGTGGGTGCTGCATGTTCATCTCACTCACTGGCTGTGTGTCTTTGGTCAAGAGAATTAACCTTTCTGTGTCCCAATTAATGGAGACAACCCATATCTAACTATACAGAAGTCCTTAAAACAATGCCTGGCTCTTCCTAAATTGCAGAAAATATGAGACACTATTTTTAAGAAAGAACAAAAATCCTTGTCAGAGGCTCTCACTGCTTAAAGTAAACTCCTTCAAGGGCTGGTGGTCAAAGCCGTGACCCCAGCTGGACCTCCCAGCTTTACCTTCCCTCCTTTTCGGTGCTTTCCTGCTGAACTGCTGTTTACCGACTGCACCAGGCCCTGTCACCATTCTACTTTTTGTACCTGCCAGGCCCTCTGTCTGGAATTGCTTCCTACCATACTTCTCCACGGGGAAATCTCACATCCTTTGGACCCTGGCCCTGGCCCTGCAGAGCTATCTAGGGCTGTCCCCGGCCCCTGCTTCTCAGGATGGTCCTACTGGGTTGCTGGGCCACCTCTGGGTCCCCAAGTGCTCGGCCACAGCTCTGATCCTACTCTCCTACACTTGTGTGTCTGGAGGGAAGGGACTGGTCTTACTGGTTATGCATCTTCACAACCAGCCTGGGGCCGGAGGAGGAGGCCCAGCTTCCCCTGAGGCCTGGCTGGTCTCTCTCCTCTCCCTGGAGCACAAGCACCCAGAAGGCAGGCGCGCACTGCCCTCCACCTCCTCCCCTGCCGAGGTGCCAGCAGGCCTTGGTAATATAAGCATAATTGCAGGTCTCCCCTCTTCTCTCCTTAGAGGTCCAGAATGACAAAACAGAAAGGCCTCTAGGGATCTTCTAGTTCAAACACTACATTTTACAGATGAGGAAACTGAGGCCAAGGTCTCGCTGGAAGTCACAACCAGAGATGCCACCAGGAGGGATCGCCATGTCTCCAGCAGGCCTTACTCAGGGCACCCCACCCCTGGCCAGCCTGCCCTACCTGAAGCAGTCTGCGTGCCAGTCAGCATTCAGGGCCTGGAGGTACTGGCCGTCATAGATCCTCTGGCCGCAGCTCGCACACACGGGCAACTCGCTTCCTGCAGGGGTGGAAAGGGCGTTAGGAACAGTTCTCAGGAGGTACAGTTGGGTGCAGGCCTCGCCTGCCCTGCCCAGCCCCACGGGCACCTCCACAAATCCTCGTATATGCATGCAGCATCCAGACTGAGCAGTCACTCTGCAGAGCAGAAGGAGAATGTAGCTCTGAGAGTCTTGCTGAGACCAGGGCTAAGTTACAAAACCCCTCTGGGCCTCAATTTCTCTAGCTATAAACTGAGTCGGGGAGCAGATGTCTGCCCTCCAGCAATGGCATTCTTCAACTCAGGGTCTGGCAAAGCAAATAGGGAGAAAGAAAGAAAGCAGCATGATTTAGAAATAAGGCAGTGGGTGACACTCCTGTCACAGCCCCCTTTCCTCCACTGCCTGTCCAGGAAGAGGGCCCTTCAAAGGGCAGGGACTGGACAGGGCTGGGTTGGTACATCCTGCACTGAAGCCCCCAGGGAAGGCTTGGCTATGCTCTGACCTAACAAGGGGCGAGGGCTGCAGGGCTGGGCACTCCCAGACACCTGCTCCAGGGAGCCCTGGCACCTCTTCAAGCCAGCCACTAGGCATGCTTAGTCATCCTTGGGGCCTGGCACCCTTGGAGCTGGGTGGGCCCTGGAAGATTCCTCCAGCCTGCCCTTTCCCATTGTACAGATGGGGAGACTGAGACTTGGAGATGGTAAGGCTTGCTGGGTCACACAGCCAGGCTCCAAGGCCACAGTCTGCCCCTCTGTGAAGAGACCTAGGGGCTACCGTAAGATGGGGCTCTCCTCCAAGTGGGCCTTCAAGGACCTGGGGGGAGGGCTGGCAGTAGCCCCAGGGGAGGGAAGGGCTGGAGGGGCTGGCACAGTAGGATCTTTTTTTGGACTAGGTAGGGCTACAAGATGGCTCTGCTGCAGAAACCTAGGAAAAGAGACTGCAGGGAGTGAATTCTGGGGGCCTTCGTACCCTAACTATCCTGCAAACCCAAGCCTGGGGACCCAGTAGGGAGAAGGGGTGGAAGAGGAGGCTAGGATGAGAGTCATCCTCCCAGCCAAGACGGATGGCAGGCACTGGGTTTGGTGCAGGGAGAGGGGGTGGGGGGGGCCCCAGCATACTGCCAAAGGTTCCCTGGAGGCGTATCTCTGCTCTGCCCATCCGGTCCCCAGACCCCCAGCCACCAGTACCAGGGGCCAATTATGTGGCCCCTAACTGTACAAACGGGGAAACTGAGGCCAGGCAGGTAGCACCTGGCTCAAGGTCACAGAGCCGGCCAGACGCGGGGCTGCGACTCGGACCCAGGGCTGCGGCTTTCCCAGCGTCTCTTTCCTGCCAGGCCGGTTAGAGACTGGATAAGTGGCCCAAGGGCGAGACACAGGGTGGACACAGCATGCAGATGGAGGCCAGGGCTGAACAGGCAGTGCCTGGGATTCCTCCCGGGTTGTCGTCGGTCGGGGGATGGGAGAAGGCGGAGATGAAAAGGAGGGGGGCCCTCCGTCCGCAGGAGGGCAGCCCACCGAGGCCAAGGAGGGGA